TAGCGACCAGCCGCGCGCGCTCCCGGGAGGCTCTGCGCCGCGCGGAAGCCTCTGCCCGCGCTTAGATAAACAACCGCCTCGGACGCCCAACACCCCACCCCGCACGCCCCGTCGAACCCCAGGCCTGCGTACTGAGCATGCGCAGTTTGTCCGCCTGAGCCGGGAACCGCGTCAACTTGAGAATCCCACGCTCAGAATTTGGCGGAGACAAGGTGTTAGGCGGGCCAGAGCAATCTCCAGGCTTTAACCTGAAGAGGGGAGTGAGAAGAAGACATGGGCAAGGTCGAAAAGGAGGCGTTGGCGTGAGGGCCTTGGCCGACACCACGCCACTGTCGGCCAGCATTCCTGTCTGTCAGCATTCCTGAGAAGCTTTGGTTTCATGTTGTGTAAACATAACGAGAGGAAGCTTTGTTTAAGGGGACGCGCATAAACACAACGAGATGAGGCTTTGTTTTAAGCATCAGGTCTGAGGGAGAGGTGACAGGCCCCTCCCAGCCCACTGCCCGAGGTGGCGAAGGCCGGGGACCGCGGAAGCCGGGCCCACGCCCGCTCACGTCGCCAGGGCCCCGCCCACCTCCCCGGCCCCGCCCACCTCCTCCCAGCCCCGCCCTTCAGTGCCCGACTGCTGTCGAGCGCTTCCCACGCCCTGTCAGCTCCGGGCGCTTGGAAAACCGGGAGAGCGGAGCCCCGAGCCGCCGCCAGAAGGGACACCTCATAGCAACAGCCAGCTGGGATACCTAGTAGGACGCTGGGATTCATTCCAGCCAACCAGACCCCGTCTCTGGACCCCATGGTAGTGTTCTCGGCCAATAGGGAGCAGCTTCATACCACGTGACGCCCATCCATCGGCCCACAGGGATAATGTCTAGTCGCTGGATCGTCCAACCCACCTCCCACTGCTTGGCCGGGCTGGGCGTTTGCTCCTGCGCACGCTCTGCCAACCAATCGTAGGTGGGCTGACGCATGACGGAGGCTTGGGGTGAGCCAGCCAGAATTCGCGATTGCTTTGCCACCGAGTGCCGGTGGTGTGGAGACAGGGCCGGAGCTGGTGGGGTTTGGGAGGGGTCGGAGATTGAGGGGCTGGTCGCTGTGCCCTGTTCTGGTAGGGAGCGAGATGTGTTGCAGGCGAGAGTGGTGAATTCCGCTTTTCAGGTCGTCTCCGTGGCATTCTGCCTAAATGATGGGCATGGAAATGGTGCTGAGGGCTGTGGGCCGAAGCGTGGGATGAATCGAGAAAACAGGGACTTTTGTTTTTAGGTTGAGAAAATTTCCGGTCTTTAAGGAGACGTACTGCAGCAGTTGCATGGTTCTTCCATGCGTGCCTCCTAAAACATTTTTTTTAAGTTACTCGGTTTTAAAAACTTACCGTTTTTTCTCTGTAGCTTTAGATCTTACACACTCTCTCCCACCCATAACATCACATTTAGAAGCTATATTCCCAGATATTAGTGGATTATTTTTTGTGATAGCTGATATTGGATTTACCTTCCTTAAACTATGTCTTTCTTGAACTAGTCTACACCCTACTAGCTCACGTTTCTTAGGAATAACAAATGTCTACAGTTTTAATGTTTGATCACGGCGTACCTCTTCCCGCCCCCCCTTCCCCACAAGGTCATCGTATAGAGAGGATTTTAATCTGAGTTCCTCAAAAAAGCAGGTGTTGTTTTGCCATCTTTTCTGTCAATTATCAAACTACTGCAAAGATGTACTCAGATTTAGTAGTGTCCTACTCCTCTGTTGCTCCATTATGTTAGAACGGATAACTTAACATTTGCATTATCTTGCTATAGTATAACACATACCAAGTTTTTGCTTAAAATAATTGAGGACAAGTTTCCTGTCAAAATATTTAGTAAAATATAACTCAATTGTTATTTCTCGATTACATGCCATCAAAATATGAAAGGTTATATCTGAGCTGCCAGAATCAGCAGTGAATGCAAACTGAAAAAGAACTAAGAATCAGAGGAATGTTTGAAGAGAATTGAAACCAAAGAAGATCTGATATCTCATCCTAAACTAGTAATGTGAATAAGTGTAGTGAAATTAAGAGAGCTCACATGGATATGAAGTGACGCTTCATATATGAGCTTTTTTGGCAGGGATGTTTGAAGAGGATGATGTATGTGAATACAGTGTTCACTAGCTTCTTAGAAGTCTCATATTCTGTGTAAAACTTGTATGCTTATTTGTGGTTACTTTAGCTTAGTAACAGCTAGACTTCTTTCAGAGGAAGAACAGACTGTCTCTTTTAAGATCCAAATAGTATACCGTGATGATAACGAGTTCCTAGACTTGTTGGGGGTTAAATAGAGCCAACAAGCATCAAACTTGCTCTCCTTGTGTAGATCATTACAATGCATGTAGTACCTTGCATTACAGTGGAGCTGAAAAACCATTCACTTTCCAGTGACTTTTTTTATAAATTTACCTTGGCATTTTGGTTCTAGAATGTAAACTTAAGCAACTGTTTTCATTTCCTAGGTCCCCAGAAGTTGAGAAGCTTGGAATTGGAGTGCATCTGATAGAAGTTGTCACAAAAAAATAGTGAGTGGGCTCCCTAGTCACTCCACTTAGCGTAATAAAGAGTGGGCGAGCTTTTTGACATTTCTCAGGTTCTTTTCCCTGAACTTTCATCAATGGTGACTTTCTTGCTAAGTTGAAATGTAGAGACTTCAGCCCTTGGGGTAGTTGCACCTCATTTATATTTCTCATATTGACAGGCCTCAGTTTTCATTCTCAATGACATAAAGGTAGATTTTTAACCACTAAGAGGCAAGAGAAACATGGTGAGTAGGAGCATGTTTTCTTACCTTTTCGGTCGTGGATGATGGTACTTACCTGATTTGAGGCTGTACGTGAAATGCTGATTGAAGCATTAGCTACTATAAGAAAGGATGTCAGGATATGTAGAGAATTTTGCAGATTTGCGTGGGAGATGGGTGTCTGTCGTCTGATCCCTTAATCATGTTCATTCCTATGCCAGCATGAACTGTCTATTTTGAGAGTGATTTTAGAAATAAAAACTTATGTCTCCATTCGTTTGTTTGTGGGAAGGACAAAATAAAAATGAGATAAAATAAAATTGAATTTTCTCCAAGAGCTGTAAATCTGTATGATAGTGAAAACTTAACACTGTACGCTGACATTAGGGTCTCTTTAGCTTCGGGAGTGCATTGCTTTGGAGAAAAAAAGAAAGAAAAACTTCATTTCTCCTCTCCCCACTGAATCTGAGAGTTATCTCACCTATGCCCAGATACCCTCGACTGTCACACTTGTGTTACCGTGGAAACCCAGCTCCTTTCCTTGCTTCTGTAAAAGATGTTGGAAAAGGTGGAATGAAGTGGGAAATACACTGTGTTCTGGGACTCTCTGATGCTGGCAAGAAGCAAGTATGCAAAGAATTTAATATAAACAAGTTAGTAGACGGCATTTGTAATATGACCAGCACTTCTTGGCTATAAAACCCTGATTCCTATTGCTTCCTATTAAAGCCTACGTCTCTCTGAGTAACCATAAAGGGGAAGGACGAGTCGAGTACATTTACCACCTATGAAATGCTGCTGGCAATTATAAAGAGAGCAGAAGACATTTTCTTGGCCTCTGAGGCTCCTAATACAGTTGAGAAACAGAAGTATGTATGAAGGGAAAGGAAGGGGCAAAATAAACTTATTTCTCTTTTGAAAATGTGATATGTCTCAGCACTTTTGAAAAGAAAAGGAATTAAATACACATTGAGTATGTAAACAAGTCAATGAAAGAAACCTTTTGGTTGAGCAAGTAAATGTTTCAAGAGGCAATTTTAAGCAGAAAAAATTTCTGAAAGAAAAGGCTTAATGATTAAAATATAGGGAGGAAAAAGAAAAAGCCTGAATAATCTTAAGAACATGAAGGTTCTGAGGAAAAAAGAGCTTTAGTCTGGTTCATTTAACATAGCAGAAGAGCAGGCACAATATTGCTCATATACCCAGCAGTTTCCCTTTCTTTTTGCTGAAAAAAATGATATGAATCAGGGTTGATCATTAATGGCAGTGCTTTCCCCTCTGTGCAGTTAGTTCAGAAGAAGGCACGTGACTCAGTTCTCACCATTGGAACAGGAAGAAGGCGCCTGGGGGTGGGGAATTTCTGGAATTCTCACAAGAGTGAGTAGATATTCCCATTTTTTGACATTACTCCCCTTGCTTGCTTCCTGCTTTGCATACTGAAATATGAGAATGTGGCCAGCATCTTTGGGCTACATCACCTTGTGGCTGAGGTTGAAAACTAACCAGCTTTGGATGGCCGAGGAGAAGGATGAAAAGACCTACTCCTGGATGACAACATTGAGCTGTCAAATCAATACTGGAAATGTCCACCTTTGGACTTACGGCTAAGTAAACAGCAAGTGTCCTTTAGTTTAAGTGTTCAAGTCCGTTAGGTTTTCTGCATCTTGCAGTCAAATACATCCCAACTGTTAAAGAAAGTATGAGCAATTCAAGACAAAATGGTATTTTAAAAAAATCAGCAAGCATTTGTGAGCACTTTTCATTCTACTAATATTCTGAATGGTATTTGAAAGACATCATACTATTTATTGAGTGCTTACTATGTATATCATTCTAG